ATCAAAGCTATGGGGTATCTAAAAAAATGGTTTATTAAGGCGGTATTATATTTCGGGAAAAAGAGGTACAATATCGGAATTGTTGAAAGCATAGATATGTCTTTTATATAACCTTTATTCGAAATTTGAAATAGTTGCTAGTGGGTTTTTTCTTCAATCAAGGAAATAAGTTAGTCTGAATAATTTATAAGAAGTTATATATAATTATTATAATAACGCCTGTAATTATTGTAGTGTAGAGCTAGCCAGTGGGATTTGAGTGATAGTCGGTGTAGTATCATGTCCCAGTGTGTTTGTTGTAGTCATTGATCCTCTAGATATCGATTCAATCAGTGAGTAGATGGAGGGGAATGTGTGTCCTGATTTGCATTTGCAAAAGATTATGAGATTTTGGTTGTGAATAATTAATGGGGCACTTTTTTAAAACGCTTTCTTCTAGATTTTAGTCGATGGTCATTATAATTTTTCTTTTTATGTTCTCTTGTAGAATTTAGTCGATGGTCTTTAGAATTTCTAACGGTCTCATTAACATCTGTCTAAACGGTCCAGCATTTTACATTATTCCATTCAACATCTGCCACCATCCAACATCTTTCTCTATCCAACATCTAACTCTATCTGACATCTGTCACTACCCAACATCTGATTGTATCCAACAACTGTCACTATCCAACTTCTAACTGTATCCAACTTCTGATTGCATCCAACATCTGATTGCATCCAATATCTTTCCATATCTAACATCTAACTGTACCCAACATTTGTCACTATCCAACTTCTGATTGTCATGATCTAACATCTAATTGTATCCAACATCTGATTGTATCCAACATCTGATTGTATCCAACATCTGATTGTATCCAACATCTGATTGTATCCAACATCTGATTGTGTCCAACATCTTACCTACACCCATACAGCCTCTCATCAGTCACCATCCAACATCTCATCTACAACTTATCCCCATCCTGCATTACCCCCCCTCCCCAACATCCACCTGTCTTCCACATCGCATTCCTCCCCTCCCCCTCCACCCAGTGAAGCGAATCCCCCTCATTACATTTGTTCACAAATCATCGCCCCAGCCCAACGCTTTCCTTTCCCTTTTGTACTTGTAGCACTTATAAAATGTTGATCTCCACCTTCTGTATGGCAAATCCCAGCTCCACCCTAGCCTCGTCACTAAAGCGTTACTTGTAGATCTTAATCTCGTCTTAGTGGCTTAATGCTCACACTGGGCGTGTTTCATCTTTGTATTCAACCTCCCACGATGCTAAGATGATTTTAAAAAAGAACGACACAAAAGCAATGTTAACAACGAGATGTATCAACATACGATCTGTAGCAGTAACAACAATGAGTTGAAACTTGTTTACATAATGAGTTAACCCAAATTGGTGTACTACGTAAAAAAAGGACATTAGATTATGGAACAAGGTGATAGAGAACATTTTATTCGAGTGTTCTTTTCTTAAATATTGGTACTAGTAGTATCTTCTAAGCACAGGATCACTATTATTGTTAATGTTAGGGATCGATATCAGCTCTCATGAGTTTAAGTTATGGAATAACTTTAGTCCTAATCCTTTTATCGAAGTTGTAATCAAAACACAAATCTTTGAACATATCAATTAGGAAAATTTTGCTTAATCTTGTGAACTAGGAAGGAAAGAGTTTTTAAATCCTTTATATTTTAACTAACCGGCGATTTTCTAACCTTACAATGTTGAGAAATAGTTTTATTTCTCTACATTTTTAAGTATTCAAAACATTTCGACAGCAGATTTGTCTGACATTATCAAGGAAGCGAAAATAAATTGTGTCCGCCGTCAGCCAATCATTGATTACAGCAACGTTTTCTTACTGCAGCAAGTTATTTCTGTTGTCTTTTTTCTCTTGCTGGGTTTGGTAATAAATTAACAAATTAATGAACAAGTGTATGAATAATGTGTTACTTCCCGAGACATTTTGACCTATTGTTATGTGTGCTAATGAGGCTGCTCATAATATGAGACGGCATGGTCGAATGGTAGAGCATACTAGCCTGAAAGTCTTGAGTTGGAATCCAGGTTTTATCCACCCAGCTCTGATGGTTGCCTCACTCACATAAGGGGAATTAAAAACGGCTGGGCATAACGCTGACGACACTATATGCCGATGTCATGGAACTCTACTTCACCTGTCCCATAAGGTCCGGGAGGGTACTTTACTTATCAATTGAAATCATTAAAAATAAACTGCGAAGAGCTGAGAAATCTAGAAATAAGAAGGCGTTGTCTCAGTGATATGAGGTGTGGTCTGGATTTGGGCGATCTAATTTTGTTTTTCATAATTTGAAAGAGGGAGGTTTAGTAAAAGCTCACGTAAGCTAGCCTGACGTCATATAGACTTTTTCACTGACTGTCTTGACGGTCTGACTAGAAAGTTTTTAAAAAAAATCATGTTTAAAACCCGTATGGACATTTTTGTATGTTCACACTTAGCTCCTCAAGTAACTTAGGCAGTTTTGTAAATATAATATAGTACAACACATATAAAGAAACACTTATAATAATAACTAGTAAGCTTTTATATGCAGTAAAAATAAAAACAAATAAAACAAACTTACTTTCTTACTTTCTTTGGTAAAAGCATTGGTCGCTAAAAATAATTGTAAGACATTTCATAAGCGACCAATGCTTTTACCAAAGCAAAAATCAAGCAAGTATAAAAACCACTGACAGACACAAGACAGACAGACATTGTGACCTCAGTGAAAGTTTATAAAACCATCATAACTGAAGTAAGAATGTTCTTACATGAGTCATCACGCCTTTCTATTCAAACCCCAACAAAATGTTTACACCATACATGTCCCTTAATGTGAAACACCCGGATGTCGTTGTTAAAAATAGATTCACACCTTTTTCTCGCCACAATAGCTCTTCACTTTTTCCCCTTAGTTCAATCCTCCACTATTTCACAGTCAAAAAACTCATCAATACATACATACATTGTGGGCCCATAACACGCAAATGCCGTTTTGTATATGTTTTATTTCTATTCATGTTTATTTTTAGCTGTGTTATTTATAGATCTAGGTGGTTTCGTTTCACGCTAAACACGCCCTCCCCGATCGAGATATTTTCAATACACTTTCACGTGGGTGTTGCATCTATAATTATTACACCTCTTTTACACAGTCTTCATTTAGGACTTTTCATTCCGTCTCTGTGATACTCTTAACAGTGTCTGATGTGTGTTCTAAGGATTGAATGTAAGGACTACTATAGGTAATTGATGCGTGATCGAAGTATTTAATGTAATGACTACTATAGCTAATTCATGTGTGTTCTAAGGATTCTAACTAGTATACAAGCAACCAGTCAATTTTTCAATCCTACACAAAGTAGACTAACAAGAAGATTGTTTCAATCATACTCTACTAACTAGTATACCAGTAAACAGTCAATTTTTCAATCCTACACTAAGTAGACCAGCAAGAAGATTGTTTCAATCATACTCCACTAACTAGCATAAACAGCAAGAAATTTGTTTCTGTCCAACAAAATTTATAGCAGCACAACCTTTTTATGCTATTTTATGCTGTGGATAATATCACTGCTAGCTATGAATATGATTGCGCCGAATTATTCTAAGCGTGTAAGATGATTGTTGACAATAATGCAAGGGAGACTATCGATTATCTCCCCATGTTACATTTTTTACTCTGTTAACTTGACTATCATGTAGAGTCGAGTATTTAAAAAAAAAAAATTGGAAAATACACATTTGTTTGTGGCTTTTGTATTCTCACAGCTCAGTGGACAGGGAAGTAACTCCTATTTTTAAAACCAAGTTTTTGGACCCCTGTTGTTTTGTTTCATCACCTGGCTGATTCAATTTAAAAAAAAAATTCCCTGTTTGGTATTATGCAGGGAAAAATAACGGCTTTTCCCGCTGTGTAATTTTTGTGTCGTGTTTTTCATAACAAACTGTTTGCATTTGAATCGAACATTTCAAGGAAACTTAACCTCCACTAGTGCAGTAATAGTTTGTGTGTGGGATAACATTAGTAAGTTAAAACCTTTTCAATAAGGTACTTTTGAATTACATTCTTTTATTAAAAAAAATTCTTTATGTTTTGATAATTCTTGATATAATAATCACTTGCTAAATATAAACTGAGATAGACCAATATCCAGCTCATTTGTTATGTAACCGATTTCGTATTTAGTTCTCGATAGCAGTCATAACTATAAACCATTAATAATGTTAAAATATTAATCACATTTTTTAAATTTACAACAACAGAAGTTCTTAAAGAAATTTGTTAGTATACATTTCAAGCTGTTTACATGTGTAATTACTAGTTAACGTGTATATATATATATATATATATATATATATATATATATATATATATATATATATATATATATATATATATATATATATATATATATATATATATACATATTTAAAATTTGTGAAGAGAGATGTGAAAAGGCAGTTAGTCGGCGGAGTTTACCCTGTTTGGGCCTGCCCATATTGTAAAACAATTTTGAGAACCCAAAACTTCGGTTCTATTTTATGCACATTTAAAATCCCAGGATACACCCCTGATTAGTATTTCTAGATTGTATTTCTATATGTTCCTTCAAAAACAGTTGATCAGATCTTCTGCGGTGATGTCGTTCTAAAATTAGACTAGCAGGTCGATAGCAGCGTGGTATCCTTATACGGAGGTGCAAACACCAGCCATTTCTGTAGACACTGTATAAAACTATTACAGGACTTGTCTGGGCGTGGCATGGATCTATCTGGCGATACAAGTTTTTACTTGTATTTATCTTTAAAATATTTGTGTACATCTTTAATTTGGGTCTGTTGAAATATTGACTGAATGTCAGAGCGGAATTTTAAAGAAACAAAAAAATGTATTTTAAAACTAACTGTTCGAGTTTTGTTTGTTTTTCAAAAACTACTCTTTAACTTGAACTTTTTAATTTTATTTTCAGCTTCAAGGTTGAGAATTTGCAATGACCATGTTTAACCCGACCTTAATTTCACATCGTGCGCCCATTCAACTTTAATAAGAGACTCAGTTTGCTAACAACACAAAGGTCAAACATTTGGACCAATCATGGGCCAGAGCTCTTCGTCACAGTGGCCTTCATCCACAGCCACCCGCGGCAAATCTGTCCCTCTCGTGAAAACCCCGCCACCCCCGGCCTCAACAACACAGGAGCCACCACCCCCGGCATCGCTACCCGTTGAAAAAACGCCAACCTACGCCATAGCCGAGAACAAAGTGCTCCCTAATGGCGTCAGTGACATCACAAACGTTCGCAGATCTCTGAGACCCGTTTCACAAGACATGACCAAGTTCCATCCAGAGTTTGCGGACATCTTTCACTACGACTCCGACGTAGATGTTCAGTCCATGGGCGAGGCGGCGTTGGAGAGAAGCGCCAGCTTGTCTGGGCTTGAGAAAGAAAACATGAGCCTCAACTCGGGGAGTTCGCCCACCTCTACACAACTGCTGAACGGTTTAGGAAAACAACACTTCCGGAATAATTCCTTACCAGCGTTGTATCAGAACAAATTCTCGGACGACTCGGTGGAGTCTCGGGAAGATGAAAACTCTGATCCGGTGGTCCATCTACGGAGGGTCCAGTCGATGGACAGGGATTTATCCCAGCCCAGTAAGCCTTATCGCCACAAGCGTCAGACGTCGCTGACCAGTGGGGTCTCCATCCAGGAGAGCGTCATACACGAGGACCCACGAGAACACCTGTACAACGTCGCCAGACACGAGCCCTTCTCCAACCTGATGCCCAGTACAGCCTCGCTCCCCGTCAAAAGCTCATTTGACCTGGATTATTCCTTCAACGTCACCTACGCTCAGCTAGCCGAACACAGGCGCCAGAAGAGAACCGCTGAGTTGAAAGAAAAAACCGGACAAAAACTAGAAGCCCTGGAGGCTGAAATCAACGCTAGCAGCCTCATTCCCAAGTCGCCTTTCGACCGGAAGAACCTGGGTCTCAAGTCTAGCACCCACAGTATCAGCACCGGCAGCTCAGAGACCGGCGTCAGTAAATCCAAGAAGAAAAAATCCCCTGCTCCCCCGCCCCCAGCCATTCCCCCATTTAGGTATTCTCTAACCAACGAGCCTCCAATTGATTACGACATGAAAGAAGCCACGCCCACTCACACACATAAACGAAGCAGCTCGTCAATCTCTGGGTTAACCAAATCCCCAGCGCCACAACCAACAACCAAAACACAACCTTCAACAAACCTCCCAACCCAGTTGAAAGTTTCCTCCAAATCACCAACCACCAACCCGCCAACCTCGACACACAAAAGAAGCAGCTCTTCAATCTCCGGGCTAACCAAATCCCCAGCGCCCCAACCAATCCCTAAAACACAATCCTCAGCAAGTCTTCAAACTCAGATAAAAGTTTCGACAAAAAAATCCTCCCCCAGTCCCCCACCCCCAGCTTCTTTACAGCGTCTTTTTGCGACGCCAAAACTAAACACCGGTCCAAAGGAAATCACGCCCCTACCCGGTCTACAGTTCTTACAAAAAAGCAAAGAAGAAGCCAAAAAACAACTTGAAGCGCTGACCAAACTAGATCACATGTTAAAAGAACCCAAAGTTGTTTCAGCAACGATTCAGTCAAAGGATGAGTTACCTGGAAACAACAACGTACCACCCAGCATTGACCATGATGAAGCTAAGCATCAAAACTCTACTGAAACTGTCGCACAACAGGGATCCTCCGTGAAGAATATTTCGGCAGAACTTTGTGTTACTAATCCATCAAGCGCTATTGAAACAAAAGAAGTTATTGAAATACCAACCACGGAGTTAGAACCACTGGTACTACCAATACCACCGGCTCCACCTGCACCACCATTAATACTAGAAACCACACCATCACCAACAACTTCACCGGTCAAAACCACAACAGAACAAAACGAGACAAAAACCGACTCGGGTTACCAATTCAAGCGCATGAACTCTCTCCTGCAGCACGACATTGTTCTCGCTGCTCAAGCTAGGGGAGCCAAAATCAAAACAGGGAAACCCCCCGTTTTTCTGGAAAAACCCAAAGACGCTTCAGAAATGTTTCGCTCTGAGCTGGCAAAAGCCGCGTCTGCGAGAGAGGAACGTCGGAAAGAGGAGGAGATAAAACTGTCAGACTCCAGGACAAATTTGTTAGGAGAACCTGAGAGGGTGAACCTCATACAAGCAAGCCCTAGCAAAACACGGAAAAATATCAACAAACAGCAGGAGAAAATATCCATAGATACGTCATTATCTAAAAATAGTTCGGAATCCGGAGAACAAAAGCAAACATCTGAAGATGGTAAAGATGAAGTTGATACTGTAAAAGCTAAAGCAGAGCTGGATCAAGAATTCAACCAATCAAATGCGGGGTTGGCCAAAAGGTCTTCTATTCACTCTGAAGACATGAGCATCAGCAGCTCCAACACCAGCCAGAGGCTCTTCTCCCCTGAATGGACCCCAGAACACGATCTAGAATCGGATGACGACATAATGGACGAGAGCCAGACCATGTCCCACAAGCGGGTCTCGTCCGAAGGCTTCAAGTCGACCATCATCCCGACCAAGCTCAACGACCTGAAACAGTCGACGGCTCAGAAAAAAAAGAAAGAAGACCGCCGACAAAGTGCCGGGGATAAAACTCCAGATGAGCGCCAGAAGTTCGGCAGCATCCGGAAGTTCAAGAAGAGCGTTCACCAGGGGATGAGAAACGCCTTTGGTTCCATTAGTAAAGCGTCAGGCAAAATTCTGAAGAAACAAAAATCTCAAGAGCTTTTTCCTAAAGCTGAGCCGGCTTTACATTCATCACACAGCGAGGTCAACCACTCGCCTGATATAACGAGGGATTCGAACTGGTCGCTGTCTGACAGTCGAAGTGGATCTTTAAGAAGATCTTATATCGACACATATTCATATGATCGTAAAGATCATGCTGATTCTACGTCATCATCGGAATCTGATTCTGATGATATCGGAGACATCGATTTCGCAAGCGGTATTGATGATAATGTCAAAGTCCGCCATGTTGAAAGTCAACCGTCATCTGACGTAGAAAACAAAGTCTTGAAGAGGGCGGGTGTTGCGTATGTTGGAAAAAAGGGGCAGATAATTGTCCTACCCGAGTACAACACGGTAGACAACTCTGAACAGGAAAACTCTGGTCATGCTCCAAAACTTTTCAATAAAAAGTCGAAAAAGTTTTCGTACGAGTCCACGCTACGGCGCGAGGAGAAGTCTCGTAAAGAGAAAGAAATCGCGAGAGAAATACGAGAAAAGGAGCAGCAGATAGAAATAGAGCGACAAAAACAGATGGATATAGAAAAAGGTTACAGGCGCTTACGAGAATTGGAGGACCAAGAGAACTTGCAGAAGATGCAAACAGCGGTCATGAAAGGACAGATTGCACAGTTACATGCGCAGCAACATGCGCAACAGCTGCAAAACAAGTTGAACAACAACATGTCGTCGTTGCCTAATCTTAACGACCCTTCACTGATTACAAGTCCTTTTATCTCAAACGGACAAGTCCAAGGTTCTCAATTTTCCAATGGAGGGGTGGCAGGTTTTATAAATAGCCCGACACATCTTTCTAATGGAGGGGTGGCAGGTCACGGTTTTATAAACAACTCGACGCATTTCGGGACGGCGCCCCACCTACCCGTTTTCTCGACGCCGATGGTGGGCCCCAACTTTACAGCCCACCCGGCCCCTATAGTTGGAGGCTCGATGAACGGCGGCCCCACTTTGCCCAACCTGTCGCCGCAGGAGCTGAACCAAATGAGTGAGTACATGCTCAAGCTGGGGGTGCCGCCCCCCACCAACCAACACCAGTGGGCGGTGCTGCTCAGCACCATCACCTTAAACTCTTCGGGTTTTCCCGGACTCGCCTCCCCACAGAATGGGTTCTACGGCAGCGGCCCTGACCTTTCGCACATCTTCGCAGGCGGCAAGACGATGGACAGTTTATCCAGCAAGCGACAGAGCCTGGGTCTGTTAGCCGGTCAGCAGACATTTCAGCCGATGGACATGCTAACCCTACAGAGACTCCACGCCGACGGTCTGTTTTATAAAAGCATGCACGTCCTCAACTCCACCGACGGATACAACCAGCCGAACCATCAGCCCACTCTAACGGACATCACCGGAACTAATCCCCGGCCATCTTTTACACCAAGCACCGGCCATGTCATTAAGCAAGATACGCCTGACATACACGCAGAACCCGCGCATCGACCAACAACAGATTCCACCATCCCAGTGAACAGCCAAGCTTTAACCTATGATAACCACTCCCACGTACCCAGAGCAGCCAACGCTTTACCACCCAAAGTTTATGGTCCAATGGGATTTAGACCGGTCTCTTTCCATGCTGGATCAACATGACGCTGAGGTAATTTTCAAAATCCCACCCTTTAGCAGGACTCTATTGATTTGTAATAAGATTTTTTTCCCTCGTCGCTTTGTTGTTGTATGTCGCGTTTAGTTTCTATTTTTAAAGTTTAAAAAAAGTTTATAACACGGGGTTGAATATAATAAATTTGAACTGGAAAAGGAGACATAAAATCTAGGAGCCGGTGGACTAAGAACCTAAATAAACAGTTTATGTTTAGAGGATTAGATAGGATTTTTGTTGGTCATCTATATATTAACGAGAGTCCAAATAGGTCAAATCGCAGTCTTAAAACAACGATTGAGTGGATTTAGTCCCATAATCATCTGTTCCCGTTCTAACCCAAGACACACGGTACAGAAAAAGTAGAGTTCATTCGTTTCAAATCCTCGTAGAGTTTATCTATTTCAAATCCTCGGCATACAAAGAGATAGAACTGTCAGCATTATGGCAAGCCGTCTTTGCTTCCCTAACGTGAGTAAGATACCCATCAGAATTGGGTGGACTCAAGGACGTTCTACGGACACATGCCCGGGATTTTAGTATACGTCCCACTTACACTTACACTTTGCGCGCTATATAAAAATGTGTTTACTGCCATATTATACAAATGACAGACAGGATTGATTGTAAGATGTCAACTAGAACTACAAACAAATCACATAGTAAATATCACAACTACGACTACAAACAAATCCCATTGTTAAGATCACAACTACGACCACACAGGGGCGTATGACGCACTACGACGCAGTCCCGTGTGTTTTCGGATTAACGACGGATTAGCCTTTCTCACCAACTCCAGACGAATCGAAATTGATCTTTAACGTTATTAATGGATTAGCACATTGACGTAAAAAAATCACTGCGTATTTTTGTTTACTAGTTGTGAGGTCAAAGTCCCGTGGGAGGGGGGGGGGGGGGGAGGAGGAATGGACGGGACAGACCGAAAAATAAAAAACCACTCGTAACACTGAAAGACGTTTTCCCTGAATAGAGCTCGGCTTTATTTGGACATTACCGTTGTAAACATAGTTAATGTACTGTAACGGCTAACTGGTTAACAGTCAACTGCTAGGCTAGGGGGGTCTTCTATGGAGAGGTTTTTCTTTTATAACGGCGAATACATAGCTCGTTTGTCAGTTGTTTTTTTTTTTAAAAAAAAAGCACTTTTGCTATTGGCTTGCAGAGAAATATGTAAATATGTACACTTTGTGTACAGCGCTAAGGGCCGCTTCGTGTGGGAAGAGATGGTTGTTTACTTTAAAGTCTGAAAATGTTTTAGGGCGGGATGTATTGAGTGAACGTACACATATTAAATAACGCAAAAATAGGACATTTTACCCCCTTCCCTGTACTAAACATTTTCAACGACAACAGCCATATCCATCACATGTCAGCACAGGTTGAAAGAAATCACATGTTACATCATCGTTTAAGGCATTTGTTGGGACTAATTCATTCTCCTATTTTACATAGCAGGTGTGCTCAAACTAGAATAAATATAAATAAAACACTCCTTTACGCATCTTGCCATTATACACAGCATAAAAAATGGATAAACCACCCCTTACCCCGATACGTTAGATGCAAAATACCTTAAGACTACAAGAAACTTTAAAAAAAAAAGATGTTATAATGGCGAGGTGGGGCGGTAGAGCGCATATAAAATGTTACACTAAATAGACTGGAAAAGTGGTTCCAAAAGTGGTTCCACTTTGTGTTGCCAGAAAGCATATTTTTGAACCAAAATTGAATATTTTATAACATTTGTGAAATGAGTACAAAGTCACTTCCGGTTTTACTAAGGCTAGAAATATTCAAGCTAAAAATTACTAATAATATAATAGTAATTTACCAAAAATTATAATTTTAATTTGGATTAGTATAGTCAGGGTGTTGTGGTGAAAGGGGATGTTATATTATTTAATATAAATAAACTACTAGGCTATATTCCATTGTAATAATAAGTAAAGCGTAATTAATATCAACATTTTAATATAGGCCTAATCAATCTAGATCGACCTCTGATTATGGGGTCATCTATTAACGATGTCACAACGATGCCAGACCTCCCCCTTCCCCAAAAAAGTAAACCTAAGCCAACACCCCCCCCCCCCCCCCCGCTATTTTGTTTTTAAAGCACCGATTTTCATAAAATATTTAGACCTATGAGCTTTTCCAACATTCAATGTAGGCCTATTGATGAATTATTTTATAACAATTTATAAAACAACTTTTAATAATGCAAATTAAAGGCTTAAATTCAGTTTCTTAACATGAGTGTTTGTTGAACATGGAAAAGTGTCATCTTACTTTCTGAACCCCCTCCCCCCTGACACAAAGGTCCAAATCTCCCCCACTACCTCAAAGTCTTTTATGGACGACCACTACAGCATTTTGCTATTATTTATAGGATATTCATTAATTAGTCATACAAACCCAATTACATTTGTTGTTTTGATGGTATCTCTGCCATTACAATTATTAAATAGTTTATCTTAACATTTCCCCTAACCTCATTTACTATAGCTGCCTATCCTTATAGAAAACATCTTTTCCTCAAATATCTGGAATGCATCTGATCAGCAACTGTCTTTTTCTTTTGTAATATATTAACAATTACAACATGTTCATAAACTTGCACGGCCAATAACAACACATTACCAGGAAACAGGTAGTGATTATAGTTTGGTGTATTTGTGGTTGATGGTTAGTTATCAGCCATGCTTCACTAAGCCTGGTTTACATTTATATGCTGGTATGGCTAGAATTGACAAAAACCCATATTCTTGATTCTTCCCTTAACATTATGTTTAACATCTATGATAGATATATGCAAATGTAAGACTTTGGGACTACATATTTGTGAACACATCTGCTAAAGCAAAAGTTCTTGAGTTGAAATTTTAATCCTTTAGGTTGTCTCTGATTCAAATTCAAAGCAGCTTTAACTGGTACCTGACTGGTTATAGACAGTACAACTTAGTAAAAGCTGTTTTACATTTTGCTGACCATACAATTTATTAATATGGAGAGGCAACAAAACTAGGTGAAATCTACTTCAGCACCATATTCTTAAAAACTATAGTTCGCCAGTTTAAGTTAATTATTGAATTAAGGTAGCAATAATATCGTTTCCGCTTACACCAGCACACACAACCAGTGCTGAAAAAAAATAACATAACAAAGTTTATGATTTTCTTTTTTTAATTGCCATATTCATTCAGAACTAACATAATAAAAAATAGTTGTTCAATATGAACAAGTTTTCTTGAGTCCAACATGTATCCTTGGATCAGTTTTTAAATTGAGCTTCATCTTGACTTTTGTCTTCTCTGTATGCAGTTGTATAATCCACAGTATCTAAAAAAACATAAATAAATTTCATAAACTGTTATATTAAACTCATTATGTTTACATACTTTCAACTCTTAATGTTATAAATAAAAATATTTGCCTGTCTTATAAAGATTATAAAGCAATGATGCGTATTTATGTATTGGATTGTATGGGCTATCTAACCATTACCATTCATTAAAAATATAGGTCTAATAATTAACTTTTAATATTTTAATGTAAGGAGTTTGTCATTAAATACAAAAAGCCTTCAAAAGAGTCCAAAAGTCATGTATTTATTATTAAAAAAAAAAGGTATCAATAAAGATCAACTACTTATGTTTAGCCACCTCAGGAATTAGTTGAAAATTGATATTCAAACTAGGCTACTATAACTATCATTAATTCATACACATAATACTAGAATTAATATTAGGATAATTATATTAATTTGATTAGTAAGTTAATCCATCTATGACAATTGACACCTTTTGGCTTTATCAACTATTCTGCGTTTTAAGTTCTAAAGATCACTACATAAGACTAAGAGTAGACTAAGTCATATATTAAGTTAATTAAGTAGAACTAAAATAAGCTCTTTACTAGTAAGCCTACTCTTCTATTCAGTAATTTTTACTATTATTATTAGAGGCCTAAAATTACTGTTAGACTACTAATCTAGATTAAACTTAAATTTTGGATATTATTTAATGTACTAGTCTGTAACCTTTTATTTAGGCTACATGTAATTTTTACAGTTTAAAATTGTAGCCTTATTAAGCCTAGTTAACTTTGTTTAACTTACATACTAATACTAACTACCTACGCTATCACAGGCCTACTAGACTACTACTAAGCTACTACATCTAAATCTACAGTCTAGATAGGCTTACTGAAACTAAAAGTAATATGACAACTGTAAATATTAAGCATACTTTATTTTTTTACAATACTATTTTAAGCCTATAGACCTACTGCTATTAAATATGAATCTATTAGTTATTAGACTAACATAAGTCATCATAAGTCTAATTAGTAATTAACTCTAACTAGGCCCTTATCATAATAACAATGTAATTGAAGTATTAGGACTGTCATCTGTACCATAGCCTATATTATTCTAAATAAAATGTATTTTGTACAGATCTAGTAATTTAGTAAGTATTAACTATTAAAATTAAATTAATATAGAAATTATTGGCCTACTAAATAATTTATTCACTAATGTCATGATTTTGCAATTATGAGGTTGTAAGTATTATAATATACCTAGTAACTGTATAGAGTAACTATACTTACTAATACTACTACGATAGTAAATATATTTACTACTATTTATTCGTACAATCATTATAGAATATAGGCCTCGATCTACTTATTGAAATTGAATTATTTAATATAGATTTTTATAAAATATATTAATATATATTATATAACTTCTAGACTAGAGTAGATCTCTACTACTTGACTTACATAATAGATCTAGAAATCTACTGTCCTACAATATAACGTTACTTAAGTTACTTAACTTTAACTAACTATAAGATCTAGATCTATAATTAATTAGTTAGTATTATTGAGTAGTATTAAGTTTATAAATTAAATAGAATAGATCTAGTATTTTTATATTTAATAAATAATTAAACATATTAAAAAGCCGTAACATACTAGATCTACTACTAGACTAGATCTAGATGTCTATATAGTATAGTATATAGATCTAGATTCTATACTATAATACAGTATAATATACTAGTCTAGATCTAGAACTCTATATCTAGAATAGATTCTAGAATCTAGCTAGATTCTAGTCTAGATAATAGATCTCTAGTGTACTCCATCTAGATCTAGATCTAGTACTAGATTCTCTATAAAAATATCTAGTCTAGATAATCTAGATCTAGATTAGATCTAGAAACTTATAGCTAGATCTCTAGCTTAGAGCACTCACAGAACTCACAGTCACAGTGAGTAGTCACAGCACAGGCCTAACAAAAATAATGAAACGTGCGTTAAAAACATTCTACAAAAACATTGGTAACAATTAATAAGAATAATGTTAGATATTAGTAATCTGAACATAACAGTCATAAAAAAAATAAGCCAACTATAATGAAAAGGGATACAAACGAATTTTGAAAGCCTAAATCGAACTGAAAATATTCCCTAGTTCGCCATTTTGTTTTCTTGGATAACCTTGTTCGTATTTATCATGGACAATAAATATTATGACATTTATCGTTTTACTCTCCCTGGCCACTTCAGTTCAGTTCAAGGTGGGGTTGAGGGCGGTTTTATTAAATATTTAAATTTATACAATAATTCAAAATCATTTTCAACGGCTTATGTTCAACACAAAAATATGAAAATGAGTGTAATCGATGGTTCCTAATCGACTTTAATTTTTAAAATTGTAGCTATAATTTTATCGCTTGCCATATTTTTTAAAATAATTTTTTAAAAATTTAGTATGATTACATAGACTTTTCCTTTCTATTAAGAGAAGCGTCTTTTCCAGTTTCGGATAGAACATGACAGTAGCCTACAGTCAGAGATTAGACTTCTCAACACTTTACCCATCAAACATTTTAAAATCGGGATTGCAATATTTGTTATTGAAAAAAAAATATAGGTGGAAGGGGAATGGACGGGGGGGGGGGGGTCCTTCACCGTAAGAGGACAGCTGTAAAGAAAGCTTCGGGGCTGTGACAAGAATGGCAACAAGTTAACGAAACAACACAAAAATTAAAAACCGCAGTACGGCAGCCAAGCTGAATGTTGGTTTAGTGGGGGCCACACAATGACGCGGCTATCAGCCGTGTTGACTCTGGCCTGAATCCAGCCCGACTTCAATGAGGCTTATTAAAACCAACAGGGGAGGGCACACACTACCTTCAATTTTAATATTTCTCTCCCTTTAATCTTAAGTTTGACTTTTTAATACACCGAGATCTCAATGTAATACTATGACGTAGGACGACCCGAACCCCACTATCAGTCTAGTAACTTCAGAACCGGTTAAACGACCGTTATCGTGGCGTTAGCGAATATCTTTTCTTATCCCACAAAGTGTGACCTCTTAATAAAAATGTCACAAACTGATTGGGTAATTTACGTGGCCTGATATGAAAGTAACAAAAAATTGTAAGACGGAAAATAAGCTTACGGCAATTTGTACGTCCTAGATTACTTAAATATTGCGGAAAAGTCTGCATTTAAGTTATTTTTAGAATAAGCTTTATTTTGGGATTTATAGATCTAGAATCTAATCAACAACGAAGTAGCTACGGTCAAATGTAGAACTGAGAAGATTTAGAGCCAAACTCAACGTCACTTTTTAAAATATTAAACGCAAGAGGTCATACTCTTAGTTCAAAAGGCTAAACACAGTAGGGTAAATAATACTAAATAATAAAATATAGTTAATGTCAGAATCAAAACAAACGTTTTATAAATTTATAGGAACTGGAGGTAAAATAAGGTTAAACACCACCCAAGGCTTTAATTTTTTAAATTGAAAAATAGAGAGTGAAAATAATATTTACAAAAGATCTTAGCTGATAGATTTTAAAAATTATGGGTTGCGTTTGTTACAACTATTCGAGGCTGGTCTCCCCTACCATATGAGTTACTGTTGCTATTTACTGAATTAATATTGTGTGTGCGATTAAAATCATTAATGTCATTAACTTTTTTTTTATCTTCAGGTGGGCAGGAGTGAAGAATAAAAGGCAAATACGACATCAATATGTTTTATGACTCATGCTGTTAGAGAACGTGACTTATCTACTTTTATCCAGTTTCGGTTTGATTTTCGTAAGGAATCTTAGAACAATGTGAACGTGTGGTAAAGAGCACGGGTTGAAGCCTAAAGATCTCGAGTTCAATTCAGTTTAGCCTCTGTATGACATCACCGAGTCCATCCAGTTCTGACCACTGGGCTACCGTACTCGTGAACTAACGTAAAGGCCATCGAGAGAACTTACCACACTAGCCCGTGTTAAACGTTAGCCACGGTCCAATAAACGAGGTAACTCTAATGACCGCCACACACCAAATGGTACCTTTATGAAGATTAGCCTCCAACTTTATTTACTGGTTTGAAGGAAAAAGTTAACTCTTTTAAATTGTTCAAGCAAATTTTCAAGTAATTGTATATTGTACAGTGTGTGTAAAAAATATTTTAAAATAAAATATTTTATTCCTTTTGTAATTTTTAATGTATCACATATAAAACATGCTTCTTTAATAATTGTATTTATATATTTATTGTTGGAATATTATTTCTTTAATGTATCTAATCATTAGGTACTATTTCAATGAGTTGAATTTTTAAATTCTGCATCAAGGTTTAAACATATGAAAAGTAAGTTCTTATAAGTAAGAGTAATGTAGTAAATTGCAAAAATATATTTAAATATAGTGAAGTTGAACAGCATTTCTTATATTTTAACATCAGTGATGCAACATGTAGGATGAGGGCAGTTGTATGCTACAGCTATAATTTATTTATTTATTTTAACACGGGTTGCTGTTCTTTTACAAAGATAAACTAAGGCTAAAGCTTCTGATTTAATGCAAAATCTCAATCTCAAGTCACTGAGAAGAAGGAAAAAAAATGTGCTTGTCTTTAGACTAATCCAATGAAGCCCTGACATATGACAAGGATATATTCCAATTTTTATAACCAGCCCCCACAGACAACCCAGTGACACTGTTGAGGTGTCTGACAACCTGGTGGTTGGGGCTGGCGGTGATGGTTGTGCAACCAGTTTTTACTAGATCTTCTTACGTAAAAAACCGGTTACAATACAGCTCCTACTACTGTTAGTGTAGAAAGCTGATAAAATCCGTGTTTTTTTTAATATTCTCAGTTAAATTTTTTGCAAGTTCTTTTTATCTGGTAGAGATTAGATTTATTGTGTACTTCTTGTAATTTATTATTTGAGCAATTATCAAATGAATTGTTACATTATCTCACTACCTCCCCTGTGAAAACTATTTACACATTTCATTGCATTTGAAAATTAAAAGAAATTACTGATCTTTATTCAGTTAAAAATCTTTGATAATCTCAAAGCCTATATTAAATTTTAAGTATACAAGCTAGAATTGTTACAATTTGTAACCTTAAATAAAGTTTAAGTAGAAGGCCATAGACTATTAATCTTTTTATGTTTTTAATGTGTAACCTTTTTTTAATTTTTGAAGCTACTATCTTGAATTATCAAGTGTCTCACAAATAAACTCATTTAGAAATGTATCTAAATAGTTTGCTAATTGAGCTTCAATACGATGATAAAATATTTATTGTACTTTAAAATGAAAGATGTAATCCTTTGCTTTATATTTAAATAAATTAATTGTTAAAAAAATAATATTGGGGAAAGGATCATTTCTGTGTCCTCCAGTTAAACAATTTTTGTGATTGCATTTCAGCACTATTGATGTCTTCTGAATGAACTGTCTAAAATTTCAACATTTTCTTGTATTTGTATAAACTTCAAGTAAGCCCATCTTATGTGATACCTCTGCTCACCAAAGCTGTGTTGTTTTATTTATTTGTTTATAATGCTTTATAGCTAGACATAAATGTCTCACTATCAGTATCACACTAGCCATTTTAAAAAGTGTACCTCACATTAAAAATATCAGGACCTTTTTGAAATATTTACCGGATCCTTTCTTTAAGATTCTGTAAAGATTCAGTATATGATCTTTTGAGCACCTATTTATGCAGAAAAATTGATTCCTAAAAATCAATATTTCAAAAAGTTTAATCACTGTAATAAATATGTAAAAGTTAATCATGATTATTTATTTAGACAAAGGTTAAATGCATTTATCTTTACTTTATTTCTGAAATGTAAATAAACTTCAAAATCTTGCTTGAAGAATTGCGTTTGGTCCATTTTTTATTATAACAATTGTATCAATTTATGTCTATTTTATTCTACATAAGCATGAGAGCTGATAGGCCGGCATGGTGGAGTGGTAGAGCACATGATTGTTAACCCACAAGTCCATGTCTGGTTACCAAACCCAAGAATATAGGATGAACTTGATCCAACTTCCATCTCCTATGATCTGATCTGCATTGGAGCAAATACAGGCTGCAAGCCATACACTGACTATTCATTTAACGCTGGTGGAGGGTAACAGATAAACTCTACTTCTTCTAAGAGTACTTATACTTTCATACATACCTTAATGTCTCATCTCATGTCTTCCTTCAAGTATAACATAATCCACTAAATTGGTTAAAGGTACTTAAGAAGGGTATTTTAATACTGAGCTTAAAACAACACAAGCTCTGCCCAAACTCATAAACTGACAGTAAACACATTTTAGTTTTCTAAAAATTACTGTGAATAAAATTTTTAAAAATTACGTAAGAAAGAAAGAAAATGTGTTTAACAGCTAGTTTAATTTGAAAACATTTTATCTGCAATATACATTGTATATCATACGGAAGAAGTTTTAAGGACAGATTAAAACAAGTAGTTCCTGGCAGTATAAATTAGCTTCTACAATCATAAGAGTCTGTCAACCAAATTCTATTTTAGCATTCCTTGTGGTCACTCACTCTCAACATTAGATTGGAATCTTGGAACTTGAAGGAAGGGGAGCTCAAATATTCCACACATACAGCATTTATTGGAACAGTCATACTTTTTCAATCACTACCATATTTTGTAACAGTCAAGACTTGTCTGTGTGAAAAGTCATTCTGACATTCTGTACACTTCAAAATTTATTGTGAATAAACAAGCATTTGCTGCAGTATTAAAATTTTAAACTATGATTTAAAAAAATATGTAATGGAAATCATTTTCATTTTTTTGTTGATTAGAGAATTTATGTAAAGTATTCTTTTCAAAAATGTTCTAACAAGAATTATACCTTCCATTAACTATGGTAAGTAGCGTCCACCTCCACCTGAGACAGGTCAGTGCAGGTGAAATGTGTTACAGCACTTTGGGAGAGCATATGGTCACTAACAGCTGGTCTATAAGAACTGGATGCCTATGCCAAATTGTATACCTGGGTTAGCTCTGAAACAAGAAATATCAGTAAATAATTAAGGAAATAATTCAGTTCATTATTGCCAATTTAAAAAATGTTCTCTGGATGATTTCAAATATATAAATAATGAGCCGTCCCAGCCAGATCTCAATTTTATTTTTAAAAAATGGCACATTGCACATATGGACGTTCGCTGACGAGAGTATTGCACATAGAGTTTCCACATGTAATACAGTCTCTAACACAATGTGAAAAATATCCATGCCAATAATATAGAATATATGTTAACACACAAAAATCAATGTAAAAAATTTATTTTAATAATTAAATAGATCTAACAAACTAGCAAATAACTGGTAAGATCGATTTTAAAATTTTTTTTTCACTTTTAGAAAAAAATTCTAAAAAAAAATACATGATAGATCAAGTTAAAAATAAAAATAACAAGAAAAAGTTGTTTTTTAAAAAAATAGAAACCATTATACATACATTAAAATACTGTACCAAAGCAAACACTAATTAAGCAGGCAATAATGACAGGTCAAGTGGTCATAATTTTAAAGACAGGTGAAGCTTGCAATAACAAGCCTCACATTTCTTGATGACCATTACTGCTCTCAAGTTACTGAGCAGACATCACACAACATCTGAGCCAGTTACAGCTTCTTATATGCTTCTGACCACACAACCAACAACATCAGCTGTCATTTGTTTAAAAGACAGCAGAAAAAAACTGGTCAACTTACTTGTCACCTTTCTGTATCCTCATTGGTATAACATAATTAAGTTCCAGACGTGCGTTCCTCCCCATGCACAACACAACCCCAAGCCCGTAGGACCATCTTAGTGATGTGGCCAGGTTTTGAAATGAATGGGTCAAGTTGTCTAAAAGAATTGCAAAAACAATAAAATAATTTATTTTTAGTCATGAAAAATAAAAATTAGCACAACAGATTTTGTCAACTCAAATTGTTAATGAGCATTTTTATTTCTATTAATTTTACACACTTTTTAACCTGTCCTTAGCAGATAAAATTTTCCTTAAAAGTTATAGCCATCCATACTTACTAAGAAAATCCACTACCTTTAGCTAATTAATCTATTTATTTTAGAACAGAAGTCACATTACTCATAGTTTGTCAATCTATAATAACAAGAGATCTATTGTGGCCAAACTTACTGAAGTCGACATTGCCAAGATTCCCAGCATTGACAAAGAAATGGGTTTTGAAGAGGTCACCAAACTTGCCCTTTCCTGGTCTAAATGGCAGTGGACTGTAGATATGTGCAGCAGCTAGCCAGTAAGATTCAGCTCCAAGCGCATTTTCTGATACAAAAATTCACTGTCTTGTTAGTTGATGCAGTTTTTACCATAAAAATATATTTAACTAGTTGTAATTTACTTTTATATTATAAAACTGAAAATACATTTAGAGTAAAAATTCATTAACAAATATTTAACTGGCAAGTTTGAAATGATAAAACAGGGAAATGACTATTCAGTGGTTAGTAAAAAAAACCTAAGGTGACATAACTGAATGACAGAGTACATGATGTCTAGCCTGAATTTTCAGACTCTGTTTTGTAAGATGTCAGTCAGCCCAGCCAAAATTAGTACCTGACAACAGGGAAAATAAAGTAGCTGGACATCTAGCTGACAACACAATGTCTTTGTAGTGCACAGGTCTAAGAAATTAATTAACTCAACCTCTCCTGCTTCAACATGAAATCCAGCCAAAAAATGTTCCGATGTCGGATACTGATCACAATTGAGTGGACTCAGAGGGTGTATGCTCAGGTTGCTGGGACTTACCATGACTGTGAGGGCCACACCCTCTCATGTTGAACCCTCTTAAGGTCAAAGGGCCGCCCAAAAAGAATTTGTCACTAATAGAAATTGATGCCCTTGGATCTAAAGTTCTCATAATACCCCCAGCTAATGAAACTTGAAATATCTGAAAGTAGAAAATTTTTCACACATTTTTATACTTATAAATTAATCTAAATAAACATAACCTTAAAACATATAATTAAAAAATCTGTTAATTTAGTTAATATAAAATAAATCATCAACTGTCAGTAACATACAATGCACATAATATGATGTATTATCATCTAAGTTTTCTAGTTCTATATCAGGTGATATTTATTACTTTAAAACTGACAGATTCAGCCATTTAAATTCTTACCGTGCTAAAAGGAAGAGAAAAGTTCCACTGAAAAGTTCCGTCCTGTTTGGCAAACTCTACATTACCACCAAGTCCAGCATATTCCTTTGTTTTGTAAAAAAATTAAATACTTAGAGAATATTTTTAGAATTAAAAGTACATTGCTATAAACTAATAAACATATTTAAACAGTTAATTTTTTTCAATAAAAAGTAATGTTAAAGCTATAAGATGCAGTACATTTTAAACTGTTACTCTGTATTTTTGTTGAATATTACAGATTATATCCGCTGGTATTTCAACAGCCAATCTACCCAATTTCTTCAATACTTAGGTTCATATATTTTTATCTAATAATAGCATCTACAGCAACATTTACCTGGCTAGTCTGCCATAGAGCACCAGTAGTGGGCAAAATTGGATCGTCACGGGTGTCGATTGAAAACGTATGCTAAGTAAAAAAAAAGTACACAAACATTTGTATTATTTTCTTCATACAAAACATTATATATAATACTTGATTTTTATAATGTTCAACGAAAAGAAAATAATTATCATAGGAGGCTAAAATACTATAAAAAGACTAAAATAATCTAGTGGAAAAAAAACTATATACAAATTAACCAATACTTTTTAAAACAAAATCAAATCTTACCTTTAAACTAGATTTGAGTGAATGCCCAGCCTGTTCACGTACTGAGAATGACGTTTCCCTTGATAATGCCTTCAGCTCTCTCCAGACCCCCTCCCACTGTAAGTTGTGTGAACCCAAGAAAGTCGGGAACTGAAACAAATAAAAAAAACTTATCTACCAATCTGCCAGTGCAACAAATTACAGATATTGGAAATCTCTTGGTTAACAAGATAAGATAAACATTCAAAAGCCAATAACCTTTTTTTTAAACTAGTAGGCCAATATGTTTTAAAAATATTTTTGTATTTCTTTATCCCTGGGCTAATATTTATAACTTTTTAAATATGATTTCAAAATAACATTTCAATAGACATTAGAGGAGAATAACTTAAGCAAATTCATAAAATGTAAACCAAGATTTTTTGCTTCATTTTACACTAAAAACTAAGATCAACAACAAATAAAAAGACATATTCTTACAGTGAGATCAAATGCTATTCCTCTGTCTGTTTGTTTGTAACCACTCCATGGGTATTCACCATGGAACTGGAAAGCTGTGCTGCCGAAGCTAAAGACAAAAATGGTTCAAGTTTTAAAACTCTTTTTAAATCTAATTTTTAAAAATATTTGTTCTTTTGCTGCCCCAGCTAAACAATATTTGTAAAAAAATATTATGTATCTTCCAATTAAAAAAATATAATGTAACAAAGGTCCTGAATATAAATGGCTGTGGTATATGAAAATAAAACTTACAACATGTCAGGGTTGTTGTTGAGAGGTTTTTTAAAATAGGCACTGTAACCATGCGTTTTCTTAGTCCCCACAGTGTAGTCTAAACTAAAGCGTTCCCCTCTTCCAAACATATTAGGCATCTTTACTTGAAAGTCCTGAAGAGAAATATCCATTTTACAGTAAAAGTTTATATGACCTTTTAGCAATAGCCATTACCAATAAAAACACATAGGTAAGTATTGACTTAATTCCTCTAAGTAATAAATTAAAATATAAAAAGTCACAGCTGAAGTCTTAAAAAAGACGTCAGGATCATTAAGTAAGACGGCATTATGGTAAATTTTACAAGTGAATTTCAAAGCAGCATTAAATATTAGTATAACAACACCACAAATTTCACTCCAGGTTTCTTACCAGGCTTCCATCATTGTTGCTGATGGATGTATAGATACCACCATCCACCCTCCTGAATTCTTGGACTTCAAACAAAACCTCATAACCATTCTCTCGCTTATCTGTAAAGAGAGAGTAAAGTTAAAGTACTATAGACAACTACAATCCCTTTAACACTTAGGAAAATTAATTACTATATTGGTAATTTCAATATTTAAAGCATTTTGTAATTTTAAATACAAAGAACAACAATGAACCTTTGCTGACATCAATGGCAATGACAACATTTTTAAACAATCCAAGTCGCTCCATTTTAACTTTGGCTTTATAACTAAGCTGAACAAGCTGAAATTTAATTTAAAAAATACAAAAAGATAGAATGCAGTTTTAACCAAAAATATTATCATTGATTTAAAACAAAAATTATTAATATAATTAATTAGCAAACAAAAAATATTGATATTCTCTATTCAAAACCTACAACATTTGAAATAAAAGCACTGACCTCATCAAATGTTTTAGCAGCAAGTAATGGTTTGATTTCTTTGATGATTGTGTCATCTTTGGTTCGAGTAAGACCATCAACAACAACACGCTGTACTCTCACCTGTTTTAATAGATAAGTCAAATCCATTGATATTTTTTTTTATAACTAACAAATCCAATTATATTAAACAAAATAAATAAAAATCTTTTGTAATAACCATTCAATTATTTTGATGATATCATGTTCACTTACAGGTAGTTTATCAAAATTTACAAACATTTCTTCTTTTTTTCTTTCTGCTGGCCATGATTGCTGTAAAAATAAAAAAACAAATACAGAAAAATAATTTTTAGAGTCAGTAAAAAAGGCATTTAAAATTTAATATTCTTGAATTTAACAGAATTCCATTTGATGTTACAAAAACAGGATTTTGGAATGTAATTGATTTCTATAAAAAAAAAACAACAAAAGAAATGCATCATAAAAAAGTAAACTAACTGAAGTCTTGATTCCTTTAGGTTGGGGATCAGCTGTTGAAGGAGCCTGAAGTGGAGATTAAAAAAAAGTTAAGACTGACTACAAGTAGACTTTTAGCTTTTCATTCTTATTCCTTCTGTTACCTAGGGAGCATAGGACTGAGACCATGCTTTTCGAACATACTTAAGCATAGTTGATAACATCAGACTAACTAAAAGTGTACAAAAGAGAAGACTACAAAAAGTTAATCAAAGTATTAGCAGTTGTAAAAAAAGTAAAAAAAATCTATTTGAAGATCTATTTTTAGCAGTAACACATACCTATATATATAATTCTCTTCATGGGGACCATAGAAAACACCACCACCCTTATCCCCACCTGTCAGGTGAGCTGTGGTTCACCCCAAATGTTTACAATCGTAGGACCGGGTCAGTTATTAGGGGTAAGGACAGATAATTTAGATTTTAAAAGGGGAGGTAATAACAATTTCTGCCATAACTATTCATTGTCATCTGTAAACTGTCGTCAAGGACGGCTGCTTTCACATAGTTCGCGGGAGGGGCGGGGGTGGGGAGGGAGGGTGAGGATAATCGTCTTTACCAGCGACTGATAGTGTTTTATAGCAAAATATTTTCAGTCGCAGCATTGGTAGTGAATTATGATTGACTGAAAAGTAGAAAATAAAACAACTAAACAGAGGATATGCTTACTACGCGGGTCAGCTCGTATTTAATAAAGCCCTTAATGTAATTTTAGTTCTTTTTATTTAAAAAAAAATTTGCACTTTTTACACAAGACAAATTTTAAAATGTATTGATTAAGTTTTAAGAGGAGATATGGGTTCTACATGATCTAATGTGTGATTTGAAGAATTTAAGCACTTGTCAGTAAGCTAGTACACAGTAGAATTTCTCTATGTATTCCAGAGAAAATTGGTCAGACGACATTTTTCCCCCTTATATGTTATTTGAATTTACATACTAATATTATTATACCTGTATCTAGTACAAAGCTTAGCCTAACCATCATTTGAATATTATGCCTATGCATCAAATTATTTAACTTCTAATAATGCTTGTGAGCACTTTGGCTGATGGGAAACGCATATGGTTTGCCATTTGTATTATAAAGAAATGAAATGATCACTTCAAGTGAATATAGGCTTTATGTTCAAAACCCAGAACTTTTGAGATAATAGTCTTGCTCTGCTCTCTGTTTAAAAGTAAATTTTAATTTATTATTTGAAATACTTATATTTACATAAAACAGACAATCAATATTTTACTCAATTGGGCTTAAGTAAAACAGACTAATGTTAATAACTAAATTTAGGCTTAAGTAAAGTATAATCATATCAATGTTATTAATGTTAATCATATAGCCTACTCTGTTTCTTAAACACAACTTAGATCTAGTATCTACTCACTACTGGGTTGTTAATTTTGTACCGATGTTTAAATATTCTTCTAAGTTCATTGCACTTTCTCTACTTTTAGTGTCTTAGCTTAGCTTAGTGTCTGGGACACTTTAGTCTTGAGTCTAGACTAGTGACTAGAGTCACTTAGAGTAAGGTAACTAACTCTGAACTCTCAGTTTCAATATTAGTTAATGAGTTAACATTGTTATTGTAACTTTTAAGTTTTAACAATAACAAGTCACAAATAACAAGCATCCCAGTCAGTTACCTTACCCAGCCAGTCTCAAAATTCAATCAAGTGATTAAAGTTTAAAGTCTCAAACAAACTCAATCAATGGCATACTTTCTTCGGAATCAACCCACTCAGTGTCTAATTTATTTCACATGCCAAGGGCAATATTTAATATTTAGTTATTTATATTTACTCAATGAATGGCATGGACTTTACGTCGCATGTGGCTTTCTTATTTCTTATTTCTACAGTTTCAGAACCAACCCAACCACCTCAATCAATGCCTACACTTAACTACACTACATTTATTTCATTTGGCGAGGGAAACGTATTAATTTGTGTTAGTGAAATGGAAAGTTTTGGTGCATTAATATTGGGCATCTAAATTATATATAATAATACTTTTAAGGGGCTTTTTTCGCTTTAAGTAAAAATTCATAATTTGACATTGAATTTTTACCTTTGCATGAACAGTCCCCATGACCGAAATTTATACCACCGGTTTGAAGAGCTCTAGTATGGGAGATTATTTTGACAACAATAACAACAGTTAAAATTTGAATGTTGAAACCAATATGAAAAACGAAATTATTGTTTCTGTTAAAATTAGATCTATATTTATTACGAGAAAAATGGCCCGTTGAGGAAGGATACAACGGGCGCTAGGCTGATAGTGCTGTCTCTTTTTTCTAAATTAAAACAACCCCCCCCCACACCCCCCCAACCCCCCCCCCCCCACACACACACCACCCCCCCACCCCCCCCCACAGACACCCCCCCACACACACCACCCCCCCCACCCCCACACACACCACCCCCCACACACACACCACCCCCCACACACACACCACCCCCCCACACACACACCACCCCCCCCCCCCCCAAAAAAAAAACATGTCTACCGTCCCATTCAACGAAATATAATTATATACTTTTTCCAGTGTCCGCCCACTCCCCGAAAATTCTACCCCCGCCCCCGAAAATTTCAAGTACCCCCACACCTCTCCGGGGAGAAAAATTCTGAAAGAAACACTGGTGTCGCGCTTAGCAACTACCCGAAGAATTGCATTAAAGAAATTGCGAGAAAACCACTTTTTAGATTAGACACATTAATTAGGCGGTAATTTTATTATAGAGTATCGATGAGGAAACCACCCCACCCCACCCCCCCACCCCACACACACCACCCCCACCCCCACCCCCCACTCCCAAAAAAAAACATGTCTACCGTCCCATTCAACGAAATATAATTATATACTTTTTCCAGTGTCCGCCCCCCTCCCCGAAAATTCTACCCCCGCCCCCGAAAATTTCAATTACCCCCACCCCTCTCCGGGGAGGAAAAAGTCTGAAAGAAACACTGGTGTCGCGCTTAGCCACTACCCGAAGAATTGCATTAAAGAAATTGCAAGAAAACCACTTTTTAGATTAGACACATTAATTGGGGGGGGGGGGGGGGCTCAGACGTTCTTACGCGGGGGGTGGGGCTTCGCCCCTACCTGAAGAATTATATGCAAGAAACTCTTCACGCAAACCATTTAGATTAGACAAAATTTCCTTTTTTTTCAATGTTTACGCGAGAATCAATGACGTCATATTACTGTGTGCACTCTCTGGTTTGAGATTATGTTCTACTCTATGCTAAATGTGTCGACGTCATATTTCGTTTTTCGAATTACTGTGCATGTTTTTATTTTGCTTGTGTTTTCTCTAGAGCGTTCTTGTCAGACAGAGCGTTCTTGTCAGACAGAGCGTTCTTGTCAGATAGATAGACAGACAGCGAAACTATTATTATAGACGAGAAAAATGGCCCGTTGAGGAAGGGTACAACGGGCGCTAGGCTGATAGTGCTGTCTCTTTTCTCTAAACTAAAACCAACCCACCCCCCCCCACACACCACCCCCACCCCCACACACCACCCCCACACACCACCCCCCACCCCCCACACACACCACCCCCCACACCGCCCCCCACACACCGCCCCCCCCACCCCTCCACCCCCCCCCCCCAAAAAAAAACAACATGTCTACCGTCCCATTCAACGAAATAAAATTATATACTTTTTCCAGTGTCCGCCCCCTCCCAGAAAATTCTACCCCCGCCCCCGAAAATTTCAAGTACCCCCCACCCCTCTCCGGGGAGGAAAAAGTCTGAAAGAAACACTGAAACCAACCCACACCCCCACACACCCCCCACCCCCACCAACCCCCCCCCCCACACACACACACACCACCCCTCCACCCCCCCCCCCCCCCCCCCCCCAAAAAAAAAAAACATGTCTACCGTCCCATTCAACGAAATATAATTATATACTTTTCCAGTGTCCAGGAAAAAGTCTGAAAGAAACACTGGTGTCGCGCTTAGCCACTACCCGAAGAATTGCATTAAAGAAATTGCAAGAAAACCACTTTTTAGATTAGACACATTAATTAGGCGGTAATTTTATTATAGAGTATCGATGAAGAAATTTCTTTTGAGTTAGGGAGGGGGGGGGGGCTCAGACGTTCTTACGCGGGGGTGTGGCTTCGCCCCTACCCGAAGAATTGTATGAAAGAAACTCTTCACGCAAACCACTTAGATAAGACAAAGTTTCCTTTTTATTCAATGTTTACTCTCCGGTTTGAGATTATTTTCTACTCTGTGCTAAATGTGTCGACGTCATACTTCGTTTTTCGAAATACTATGCATGTTTTTAATTTCCTTGTGTTTTCTCTAGAGCGTTCTTGTCAGACAGAGCGTTCTTGTCAGATAGATAGACAGACAGCGAAACTATTAGTATTAACGAGAAAAATGGCCCGTTGAGGAAGGATACACCGGGCGCTAGGTTGATAGTGCTGTCTCTTTTCTCTAAACTAAAACCAACCCATCCCCCCCACACACACCACCCCCCCACCCCCACCCCCCCCCCCCACCCCCCCACACCCCCCCCACCCCCACCCCCACCCACCCCCACCCCCACCCCCCAAAAAAACATGTCTACCGTCCCATTCAACGAAATATAATTATATACTTTTTCCAGTGTCCGCCCCCTCCCCGAAAATTCTACCCCCGCCCCCAAAAATTTCAAGTACCCCCACCCCTCTCCGGGGAGGAAAAAGTCTGAAAGAAACACTGGTGTCGCGCTTAGCCACTACCCGAAGAATTGCATTAAAGAAATTGCGAGAAAACCACTTTTTAGATTAGACACATTAATTAGGCGGTAATTTTATTATAGAGTATCGATGAGGAAACCACCCCTACCCCCCCACACCCCCCCCCCCACCCCCAAAAAAACATGTCTACCGTCCCATTCAACGAAATATAATTATATACTTTTTCCAGTGTCCGCCCCCCTCCCCGAAAATTCTACCCCCCGCCCCCGAAAATTTCAATTACCCCCACCTCTCTCCGGGGAGGAAAAAGTCTGAAAGAAACACTGGTGTCGCGCTTAGCCACTACCCGAAGAATTGCATTAAAGAAATTGCAAGAAAACCACTTTTTAGATTAGACACATTAATTAGGCGGTAATTTTATTATAGAGTATCGATGAAGAAATTTCTTTTGAGTTGGGGAGGGGGGGGGGCTCAGACGTTCTTACGCGTGGGGTGGGGCTTCGCCCCTACCCGAAGAATTGTATGCAAGAAACTCTTCACGCAAACGATTAATATTAGACAACATTTCCTTTTTATTCAATGTTAACGCGAAAATCAATGACGTCATATAACTGTGAGCACTCTCTGGGTTTGAGATTATTTTCTACTCTGTGCTAAATGTGTCGACGTCATATTTTGTTTTTCGAATTACTGTGAGAGTTTTTAAATTGCTTGTGTTTTCTCTAGAGCGTTCTTGTCAGATAGAATTTTTTCTTATGTTTTCTCTAGAGCGTTCTTGTCAGACAGAGCGTTCTTGTCAGACAGATAGATAGATAGATACACAGACAGCGAAACTATTATTATAGACGAGAAAAATGGCCCGTTGAGGAAGGATACACCGGGCGCTAGGCTGATAGTGCTGTCTCTTTTCTCTAAACTAAAACCACCCCCCCCCCCCACCCCCACACCCCCCACCCCCACACCCCCCACCCACCCCCCACCCCCACACCCCCCACCCCCACACCCCCCACCCACCCCCCACCCCCACACACACCACCCCCCCACCCCCCACCCCCACACACACCACCCCCCACCCACCCACACACACCCCCACCCCCCCCCTAAAAAAACATGTCTACCGTCCCATTCAACGAAATATAATTATTTACTTTTTCCAGTGTCCGCCCCCTCCCCGAAAATTCTACCCCCGCCCCCGAAAATTTCAAGTACCCTCACCCCTCTCCGTGGAGGAAAAAGTCTGAAAGAAACACTGGTGTCGCGCATAGCCACTACGCGAAGAATTGCATTAAAGAAATTGCAAGAAAACCACTTTTTAGATTAGACACATTAATTAGGCGGTAATTTTATTATAGAGTATCGATGAGGAAATTTCTTTTGAGTTGGGGAGAGGGGGGGGGGGGGGGGCTCAGACGTTCTTACGCGGGGGTGGGGCTTCGCCCCTACCCGAAGAATTGTATGAAAGAAACTTCACGCAAACCACTTAGATTAGACCAAATTAGACCAAATCAATGACGTCATATCAATGTGTGCACTATCCGGCTTGAGATTATTTTCTACTCTGTGCGCTAAATGTGTCGACGTCATACTTCGTTTTTCGAATTACTATGCATGTTTTTATTTTCCTTGTGTTTTCTCTAGAGCGTTCTTGTCAGATAGATAGATAGATAGATAGACAGACAGCGAAACTATTAGTATTAATTTAAAAACATGTATAAATCCACGGAAACATTGTAAAGCTTTAAATATGAATAATGTATTTGTAGCTCTTTTATAGATCTAATTTTTTAAAATTAGTTTAGTAGACACACGATCAAAAATAGAGAGTAAACTGTTCCTAACTATAATGGAATAATAATAAATAGATTGTCGTATTTGTAGGCCTAGGACTAGGACAGGATGTTCATCAATTTATGACGTCCATAAAAATTTCGGATTTAAGACCCCCCCCCCCCTACACACACACATACATGTGGACCTCCACAAAAATGGTTACCTATTAACTGCTATACGGCTAATATTTTCGATAAAGTTTATTATTCGACCTAAATATCGAAAGTAGAATCTAGAGTCTAGATAGAAAGATCAGTATGTTTAAAACGTCAAAGTATTAATATATTATTTTTTTTCCAAGGATTTTCTCCAATACCGATCAAAAAGGCATGCAAAGTATTAAAGTATGAAGCACTTTATGTGTCGCGCGCGTGTGTGTGTAACAGTATAATTATCTGTAGTTAAGATTTGTGTGGTTGGGAAGGGAGGGGAGGTAAAAAAAAACCCCATTACAAACCATGCCGTTGCTTATGATATTGATGACTCCTGTGTAGGTATAACTCCAGTGCTTTATTTACACGTTGTGAGGTGTTCTTTTTTAAAACACCAGCAATGTCGTCTTAATGTCACTTTTTATACGCAGGTTACGAGTTTTATGTTTGTTTTAAAATGTAAGTACTTCGACCTTAAATTCAACATTTCAACCCTCCCCCCTTCCAAATAATATAGAATTAT